TCCTTAGATGAAGTTAAATTCAGTTTACGCAAAACCTCATTGGCAATTGCTTCAATCATTGTTGCTTCACTATCCTTAGTCAAGAAGAAGAAAGATAATTCCCAAGAATCAAGATATGTTCCCAAGAATCAAGATATGTATAACGATTGATAAAGTCTTTACCAGCTCAGAGAATGGTATCCTAAGGTATTGGCTACATCGGTCAAAGCTTTACGCCACAGCTGTTTCTCATCTTCTGTTCTGTTCTGTTCTTGCAAGTCTTGTCAAATGCCTCTCCAAAGTCTCCTGACTGTTTTCTGATGTGAGATAGATCCAAGCCGTAGAAAACGGGTATCACCACTTGACCTAGTTCGTCCTTGCATTTCACAATCTCTAGTAGCTCGTTGAGGCACCAGCTTGAAGATGCGTACTTTTCAGAGAACACGACTACTGCGATTTTGGAATCCCTAATTGCATGAACAAGCTCGGGAGCGATGGAGTGGCTTCTCTGCATCTCACTGTCTTTGAAAACGCTGATCAGTCTGCGATCGAGCTCCTTGAGGAAGTGACTGAGGAATGTTTTGCGGACATCTTCTCCACTGAAGCTAGGGAATGTAAGTTGGAATAGAGCTCGATGATCCCCTTGTATTACCATGGTCACAATATATACAGATTATATATGAGATCATATCAGATCTGTAATTGAAGATTTACACTTGATACACACGGAATACATTAACTATCGTATATTTGCATATATTACTCTAACACGCCCCCTCAGTCACATCGGGAGGTTCCCGGACGTTGAGACTGGTCCTGAAGTCCACAAAGAGCTGAGTTGGTAGTCCTTTTGTAAAGATATATGCATATTGAAGGGATGAGGGAACATGAAGAACTCTTACTTGGCCGAGAGCCACTCGTTTCCTAACAAAGTGAATATCGATCTCCACATGCTTTGTTCTTTGGTGCTTGACTGGATTGGACGATAAGTAAACAGCGCCTATGTTGTCACAGAATACTACCGTTGCCTTTGAGAGTGGACAATGCATTTCAGTGAGCAGATTACGCAACCATGCAGCTTCAGCAACAGCATTCGCAACTCCTCGGTATTCAGCTTCAGCACTTGAGCGTGAGACAGTAGCCTGTCGCTTAGAAGACCATGATATAAGACTGTCGCCAAGAAAGACGCCAAAACCAGATGTTGAGCGACGAGTGGAGGGACAACCCGCCCAATCTGCATCAGAGTATGCTGTTAGTTTATCGCTGTGAGATCGATGTATGTGGAGACCATGGGAGATTGTGCCCTTCACATATCGCAAGATACGTTTCAGAGCGTTGAAATGTGGTTGCCTGGGATCATGCATAAACAGACAAATTTGCTGCACGGCATATGCTATATCTGGCCGAGTGAAAGTAAGATACTGCAATGCACCTGCGAGACTTCGATATAGCGTTGGATCAGAGACTGGTTCACCGTTAGGAGTGAGCTTTGTCTTCGTGTCAACTGGTGTGGAGCAGGGGTTGCAATCTATCATGTTAGAGCGATGGAGGATATCTGCAGCATAGTTTTGCTGCTGCAGGAAGAGACTGCTGTTGGTCCTTGTAACTGAGATGCCAAGGAAGTAGTGTAGCTTTCCCAAATCAGACATTTCGAACTCTTTTGCAAGAGATTCGATAATGTTGTTGAGGAGAGATGTTGTGCATGCAGTGAGAACAATGTCGTCGACGTAGAGAAGTAAGTACGCAAGCTGCTTGTTGTGGCAATAGACGAAGAGCGATGGATCAGACAGGGCTTGAACGAATCCAAGCTTCTTGACAAAAGTTGCAAAGCGATGGATCCATGCACGGGGAGCTTGCTTTAAGCCGTAGAGTGAGCGTTTAAGCCGACAAACATGATCGGGCTTCATCTTATCCACAAAGCCGGGTGGCTGATGCATGTATACCGTTTCCTCAAGATCACCGTGAAGAAAAGCGTTTTTGACATCAAGTTGGTGTAGCGGCCAGTCTTTGGCGAGAGCAACGTGAAGAACAGATCGAACAGTGGCCGGCTTAACAACATGACTAAATGTCTCCTCACAGTCGACACCAACTTGCTGTGATTTACCGTTAGCTACAAGTCTCGCCTTATAGCGGACAAGCTTCCCATCTGGTCCAAACTTATGCCTGAAAAGCCACATAGATCGAACAATATTAGTAGCAACAGGCCGTGGAACCAGGTCCCACGTTCCAGATTTAATAAGAGCGCTATGTTCAACTCCCATAGCGCCATTCCAGTAAGGATCATTTGCTGCTTGAACATGTATCAGAGGCAAAGGAGACACAACGCTTGTATGGAGACAAAGCCGATTAACTGGTTTAACAATACCATGTTGGCTTCGAGTTACCATTTTAGGCTTAGGTAATGTTGGGGGAGGCAGGGGAGGCAGGGGAGGAGGCGGAGGAGGGGCCTCAACAGCTGGAATGGGAGGGAGAAGAGGAATTTGTGGTGTAACGATAGGATTACGAGGAATTGGTGGTGGAAGGAGAGGAGACGGATCTTGTGGGAAAGAGGGGGGAGGCAAAGCTGTTTGAAAGGGGAAAGTATTTTCATCAAAATGGACATGGCGAGAGAAGATAATTCGCCGAGTGGTGAGATCAAAGCATCTGTATCCACGATGGTCATTGGGGTATCCAAGGAAGATACATTCCGCTGACCATGGAGCAAGCTTATGCTGTGATTGAGGAAGAAGATTAGGGTAACAAAGACAACCAAAGACCCGTAAATGAGCATATGATGCAGGTTTGTGAAACAATTTTGTGTAAGGAGTGTCATTGAGAATAGATTTAGAGGAAAGAATATTTAGGATGTGAACGGCTGTATTGAGTGCCTCAACCCAGAATTCTGGTTTCATGTGAGCTTGAAAGAGAATAGTTCGAACCAGATTATTAATTGTACGAAGCATTCGTTCTGCACGTCCGTTTTGTTGTGAGGTGTACGGACATGAGAATCGAATTTGCGTACCTTCAGATGCAAGGTGGTTAAGGAATTGGCGATTGTTGAATTCTCCACCATTATCGCATTGAAACGATTGAATGTTACAGCCAAATTGGATACGCACATAGGCTGAAAAATGTAGATATTTCCCAAGCGTTTCACTTTTGCGCCTGAGAGGATAAGCCCAAACGAAGTTAGAGAATTGATCAAGAAAGATAACATAGAATTTTATTCCTCCAAGACTCGATATTGGTGATGTCCAGATATCCGAGTGAACAATTTCAAAGGGTTTAGAAATAACTGAAGTAGATGAAAAAAGGGTAGACGAGAGTGTTTCCCAACTTGGCACGCATGACACAGTGATGTCAAGTCGGCCTTATTAAAATTAAAAATCCCAGAAAAAGCAAGAGATTGAAGAACAGAGTTGCCCGGATGACCCAACCGACGATGCCAGAGAGCACCAGAGGAGGATGACGTGACGAGAGCATGCGGTGGCGGAATTTTGATGTTAGGAGTTACCGCATATAGAGGCCCAGAACTGTCACATCGGAGCAGAGGTGTCTTGGTTCGAAAGTCCTTAATAAGAAAACCAAATGGGTCAAACTAGATGGAACATTTGTTGTCAATAGCAAACTGACGAACAGAGACCAAATTTTTTATAATTGATGGGCAAACAAGGACATTTTTGAGAAGTAAATGACGAGAGGAAGATGGAAGTATACCACTGCCAAGCTTGGTAACAGGAGCAGAGGATCCATTACCGACTGTCACCGGAGGATAAGCGCTAGTATTAAAGACAGAACAGAGGGTACCTGAGTTTGCGGTGATGTGGTTTGTTGCACCGGTGTCCATGTACCACGAGCTGTCACTTGGATCCTGCAGCGTCATGGTGTTGAGGGCGTGAGTTAACTCTGCAGGTAGATACGGTGAAGCAGGAGTAGGGGCAGCGTAGGTTGCAGACGTTGGTGTTTGTAGCATATGAGCCTCGTTGTGCGATCGTGCATGCGGAGCAGGTCCAAGAATACTTGTCGGAGTTGGCGAGCGGTGCTGCGGCGAGTAAGCCGGGGGCATCGGATATGATGATGGAGGAGAGTAGGGAGAGTATCCGTAAGGCAATTGCCATTGTGGTGGTCCGTACGCCCATGGAGGTGGAGCATACGAATTGTTCCATGAGTTATTGTAGCGCCTCCTCCCTCTGTTGTTTCTGTTACCACGTCCTCTGTTGTTGTATCTACGGTTCTGTGGTTGAACTCGCTGTTGATGTCGCTGCTGCAGGGATGACTCCGTTGCCGTGTAGAGTACATTGGGAGCAAAAGAGCTATTGTTGTTATTGCTTATGTGGGGCTTGATCTGTTTAGCGAGACGATCTTCCTCAAGGAGAAGCATAGAGCGAGCTGTAGAGAATGTCGGGAAAGGATCTTTGTGTTTGATAACATTGAGAATGTTATCAAATTTATCAGAGAGACCATTCAAGAGATGCATGACGAGAACACGATCACTAACGGGGGAATCCATGTTGGCTAGAATATCTGAAAGAGTTTTCAGTTTCTTGCAGTACTCATGAACACTCATGTCACCAATCGTTGAAGTGCGCAGTTCGTGGTCAAATTGCAACGCCCGAGCCTCCTTGTTGTCGCGGAAGAGATTTTCAATTGAAATCCATAGTTCACGAGCCGTACATTTGGCTTTGATGACGGTGTCGAGCAACGATTCAGATAAGGTGCCATAGATCCACATCTTAACCAGACCGTCACGCTCCTTCCAAGCTTGCTCAACTACAGGTGATGGATTTGCACTTCCATCAATGTGTTCGAGAACACTAAAGGTGGAGCAGTGTGTTTCGAACAACTCACGCCACAGGTCATAATTGAACTTGTTCATGTCAAGAACAACAGGGATGTATGCCTTGATTTGAGAAATTCCGAATGGTTTCTCGGATGGTGTTGTGGTGGTGGTGGGATTCGCCATGGAGAATGAGAGAAAGAAAGAAGGACGAAGGGGAGAGTTGCAGAGAAGAAAGAGAAGCAGAACAGGATGAATAGAGAGAGAAGCAAAAGATTAATTAGGAGGATCGATAAGAGAATTTGAAAGGCTCTGATACCATGTAAGTTGGAATAGAGCTCGATGATCCCCTTGTATTACCATGGTCACAATATATACAGATTACATATGAGATCATATCAGATCTGTAATTGAAGATTTACACTTGATACACACGGAATACATTAACTATCGTATATTTGCATATATTACTCTAACAGGGAAGACGTCGTATAGCCAATTGCGAGACGAGGAAGAAGAAGAAGACATAGAGAGACAAATGATCTGAAGATCAATGGAGAATCAGACGAGAATCGTATTTCAAGTGCTCGATATGATGGTTTCCACCTGGTCACACCAACAGACACTCAGATTGAAATATCAAGATAGCCAATTAGTAACAATGAGTGTATATATATCACGCAATGGTAAACATTCAAATTTCCCTTGGTATGCGATTTACATAAGAACATTCCTGAAAGTAGTCTATTCAGTATTCCCAATGTGAATTGACAGAAAAAGGTGTTCTATATTCCCAGTGAGAAAACCACAGATAAATTGAATATCTTGTTTCTTTCTTCCTTTGACATTGGAACACAAACATTACAATCAGATAAAAGTGAAAGATCTCTCTTTACATGATTGAGCAACGAATACTTCACACGCAACACAATCTTACCCTTTTTAACGTCTAGCTTTGCTCCAGTCACAATCCAGTGTCCAGGCAAATCCTGTGGTCCTTTCAAAATCCTGCTGAATGAGAGAATTATCAAACCAAAAAAAAAAAAAGACAAAGCTGATCTGCAAAGTTCTCAATAGTCCGAAAAACAGAATCCAAATTATATTTGAAGAAAAACTACAAGCATCCAGAACAATACACAGTACTCTTATCAGTTCTTAAATTCCCCAGAAAGGCAAGAAATGAGAACAAACACACAAGAATGTTACCTTTCTTGAGACTGGGACAGTTTTCTAATCCTTTGAAAACAGCAACCTTCAACTGCTCTCCATCATTAGCCCATATGAATACTAAATTAAGTATTTTTTCCAGTTTCTTCGTCTCTATAAATCTAATAGAAACAACCAAACCCATATTAGTTCCATCCGCAAATTCATCTCACGATATTTGTAATCGAAATCCATCACCAACCGATTGACAATAACTTCACCAAAAACACAACCACGTATTTCATATTTGGAATACCTTTAGTGGAAGTACTCGACCCCATTCAACTAGCCTAAGCTTGAAAGTGGTCGAACAGAAGAACGGGAGACCGACAGTGTCAAGAATGGATTCAATCAGAAACCCAGACAAGAATCTGAAATTAAAAAAAAAAAAACCGGAAAAATAACCCAGAAAGATAAATAGATGATCGTATGAGTATTACCTAATGGTGGAGGATCCGATGATTAGATTGAAGAGATGATTCAGTCAACAATTGGCAGCGAGGAAGATGAGCGCGAGAGAGAGAGATGGTTGAATGAGATGTTTGTTTTTATTTTTCCACAACTTAAACTGTAAAGCTTAAACTGTAGTTAATTACCTGTTAACCGACTACTAACAGAAACCAAAATGATCAACCGCTAAAATTTCTGTAAATTAATAATTATTATAAAATAATAATTTTTGTTGATCACATAAATCGAATTAGTATAAAAAATTAAAAATTAGTAAAATTCATCTATTGGATCATCTGTAATCTTTCTCATTACATCAACATTTTTTTAATGTTATACTATTGATTTGCATCTTATACTAAAAACAAATTTTACTGACGTTAACTAATTAATTTTTTTTTTTGTTAAAGTCGTTTCGTTTGCCGACAAAAAAATGGTCAAAATCAACTAGTCAAAGACGTTGATTTTTGTTCACTCTATGCGATAAGTTACACAAAATAAAACTTATGTAATGTATTCACTTTCACCTATAATATTGCACAGCAATGATGACAAGCTATTATATGATCATGGAGACAACATTGCTCAACATCACCACTTCTTCAAACACAGTTATAGGCTTAGGCTTATAGCTTCTTCACTTCACGTTGCCACATTTTCAACAGTAGCCGACGAATGTGTAACAGATCAGAAGAAATGAATTTTCAGTTATACAGAAGCAGAGCTGTGCCTACAGATTTTAAGGCCGTAGGCAAAACTAAAAAAATAGTTTCATATATCTTAATTTATAAAAGATATAAATACACAAATATAAATAGCTAATGAAAATGTTGATAAGTAGAACATTAAAATAAAATGACAACAATTTTTTTTTTCAACAATCTTAATATCTTAGAATAGCTCATTAAGCTAAATCAGTGGAACTGAATTTAAATGGCAACTATCCATAATATAGAATAATCAATTTACTATTGAGAACACAAATTTAATATGTTTTCTTAACTCATTATATATTAGCAAATTAGGATATGGATTTAAATACTTACCTCTAAAAGTTATATTGCATATAAGAGATATTAGAAGAAATACAACATAAACGTAATTACAAGTATAACTTCTTAAACTTTGTATAAAATTATTTGACATAAAAATAATTACAAATATAATTTCTTAAACTTTATATAAAATTGTTTGATGTAGGCGAATGCTTCTTCTAACTCTACATAGGCACGGCCCTGTACAGAAGCCACATACGTAGAAACCATGCTAATCTTGGAACCTCCCTGTTCTTCTTTGTACTTCCAACAAAAGGTTTAATTTAAATTTGTCAAAATTCGAATCGAATCTAGGAAACGTAAGAACATATCGATATTCAAAGACTGAACCAAACTTATCATATTTTTTGTTGGACCTTAAGCAAATGAGAAAACATAACAAGAACATAGTATAATAAATATAAAAACCTAAGTCGAAACATGAATCAAACCTATCAATGTTCATTTGGACCTTAAAACAAAAAACCTCTGGAGAAGAAGAAAAAACAGAATCTGTTCTTGATCTTCCCAAAACATGCTCTTTACCCATCAGTGTGCTGCTTACAACCCTTTGGTCCATAATGCTGAGCACATCGCTTCACCACTTTCTTGCAAAGGTAACAAAAATGTGCTTGACATGCCCAACAAAACAAGTGATTGTTGTTTCCCACCTACACAAGAATCAATCATCGCCATTAACCTCAAAAACTCGTCTGATTTAACATTGGTATTGGAACAGAGTGAGTGTTTTTTCTTTTTACCTTTGCGTTAAACTGGCGGCAATTAGGACATAACTGACCATGCTGCGGAAACTGACCGTGCTGTGCAAACAACTGAGCTTGAATCTGTCCAATTTGTCGTTGCTCATTCAATCTTTGGTTCCATTCTTGAATCGCTTCTTGTGGGAACAGATCACATGTTCCCTCTCTTTACCCCCCCCCCCCCCCCCCCCCCCCCCCCCCAAAAAAAAAAAAAAACAAGTCAGTGTTTTAGTTCCAAGAGATATGCATATGTATGTAATGTAAAAAATCACAAACCTGAAATGTTCATAACCAGTGATAGCTTTGTTGCAACGGTAACAAAAGTATTGGCCACAGTTATTGCAGACCATTTTGTTACAACCTCCTGTTCTTGAGATGGCCATTTTGCAAGAAGGGCATTGCTTGGAGCTTTGCTTTATCACATTCACACTCATAATCTCATTGATCATATCTTTCTCCTTTCTCCTTTGTTCATCTCCAAGACGAGTAGAATTTTGACGATCCTGAATAAGTATTATATTACATGTAAGAAAGAAAAGAGTCCGGTTTTTAAATTCTCTTTAAGGATTGATCATAAAGGTATGTATGTGTGTACCTGCAAGATTTGAAGCCTAAGTTCAGGGGTCATACAAGTCCCACCAACGTGTCGCTTCTCCTTGCAAAGCGTACAGAAACTGAAGTAGCATTTGAAGCATAAAGCAAGCTGCTCCTCGTCCTCTATGCACGGTGTTTCGCATCTAGGACAGTAAGCGACGTCAGACATGGATTCAAGTGTTTTCTGTAACATAAGAGTTTCCCAACGCTCAAAAGCTTCATCTCCCAACAATCTCTTCAATACACCTGGAGGAACAATCTCTCCGCATTTCGAATCCGGACACTGAAGCTTGTTAACTGTTCCTTCAGAGACGTGAATGTCCGTATAAGTCTTCATACACTTCACACAAAAGAAATGCTCACACGGTAGCTTCACAAAGTCGAAACCTGCGGATTCAGAGAAACATATACAGCACTCGTGTAAGCTCTTGAGGAAGCTCTCATGTCGTTTCTCGTCGTCGTAGCTCCTGATATAAGGGATGTCTGCGTCAGGTGAACGGCTTCCAGAGACAGCACGCTTGTCTCTGGAACATGTGACGCCATAAGGACCAAGAACAATCTCATCATCTTCAAAGCCGAGGTGAGAAACCGACGAGTTCTGTAGCCAATCTGTCCATTGGTACAGTACTTCTTGCCCTGGCTGTTCCTTCCACATAGAGTCCAGCATCGAGCAGAGGCTTGAGATCTTGTCAGGGCTCATCCACTGAACACTTAGCAAGAAAAAAGGCGGTAAGTCGCTCGGATACGCGTTTGGTAATAAACATGTCAACACGATCGGAGGAAGGTGATGAGCCTTGAATGAATACAAGAAATCTTCAGACTCTTTGCTTGAGTCAGCTTGTAAGTTAAGCTTCGCAGAGACGGTGTATTCACTAGTCGTAGCTTCAACGTTTACATGAATCTGCAATATCAATAAAACATGTGTTTATGTCACATTTATTGATATGAAAACTGTAAACTAGGAAAATCTTGTTTCTGACCTGAAAGTATCGCATATCTTTGTGCCGGTTAAGGATGAGCATGTTTTCTCCATAGATGTATCCCAGTGCCAAAAGCTGCAATAATCTCACACAAAACCAGTGTGAAAACAGAGAAACTAAGTGGTAACAAAGAGAAATGGATTATAAGCCATAGACACAACTTCGTTTTTTCTCAACCATTAGAATTGGTATCTTTGAAACGACAATAAGAAACTTACAATAACTTAAACCGGAAGTAGCGTCTTTAAGATGAGCTTAATTCAAGCTCTGAAACTTTCCTATCAATAAATGTTATTGAGCTATCGAAATATCACAAAGTCGAAAACTTTATAGTTCCATTTACCTCATCTTCATGCAATTGATCATTCATCATCCTTACAGCTTAGCTTAATTCAAACTCTTAAGCTTTTTTTATCAATCCTAAATAGCAATTTCTATAAAAAAAAATGTGATTGAGCTATCGAAACATGACAAAGGCTGAAACTTTATAGCTCATTTTACCTCATCTTCTTGCAATTGATCATTGATCCTTAGTTGCTCCTCGGTTAGCTCCGGTTCACTGACGCTAGATCGCAAGTCGTTCAGAATAGTCAACATAATATCTCCGTTCGTCTCATCACCAACATCAGCGATTTCTTCATTTTCACCTCTCTTCTCCTCCGATACCTCACAATTCGAGTGATCACCAGAACCGACATGAATCTTCTCCTCTGAATTCGAATTCTTTTGCAGCTTTAAGCTACTCAGCTCATCTGCCAAGTAATCAGCAGCATCCGGTTCAGAGAAATGCACCTCCGGTTTTGAATTTGACCCACCACGGCCGCGCCGACTCCGAGACCCCGGTTTAGGATTCCGGCGAGCTTTTGTGGTGTGATCGAGGCTTTGCGATGAGTGAGAAGTAGACGGTGAAGCTGCAGACGACGACCGATCCGTGGCGGCAGTCGTCGTCATGTCTTCCTGCTGATGCTCCGATTGTTGTGGATGATCGTCAACCGGATTGAGAATCCGACCACTTCCGTCGTCACGGCGGATATAGCGACGGTCGTCATTTCTTCCGCTGCCTCTGTGTGTTCGTCTCATGGCCGCCTCGCTAGAGACGTGGGGTCCAGAGGCAGCTTAGTTTTCCGACAGGAAGGAAGAAGCTTGTTGAACCGAATTTAACATAGAAGCTTCTTCCGAAATCGGACTCAGAACCGGGTCGAGATCGCTCGGTAAATCCAAATTAGGCCTTTGATTATACTCCAGGCCCAAATACATAACATAAAAGGTAAATAATATAGCTTTTGGGGTTTTGCTTTGGGTTCATCTATACTATAGAATAACTATGATACATCGCATAATGCTATATATAAACTGATATAAAAATACATCATTGGGAACCTTTTACACCAAAATGGACCATAGCCATAGCCAATAATTAAGGTAGATCGGGCCCTATATGTTAGAAACTGTGACATCCAAAGTGTGAAAGTTGTATATGAAGAAACTCCAAAATTGATGTATGAGATAATTCCTTAAACGTGGATGTAGAAAGAGTCAGCTTTCGTGTACATGAAATACTCGCAACAAAGATATTAAAGAGATTCAAGAAGATGATGCATGGATAAAGCCATATATATGCGTATACCTGATGAAAGAAAAAAATGCTGGTGATATCAGGGTATGAGATGAAGATTAAGCACACATTAAGCTACGGAGAGAGCAAATCAAATAGACAAAAGAACCACGTTTCGATATGCTTTATGCCTTTAAACCGAAATGGAACCAAATAAACCAAACTTTGGTTTTGGTTCGGTTTAGATCAAATGACCTAGCTGCACACCCCAATTTTGACTACAAATCTTCGCGATGATTTCTAACTTTTTGTAGTGCATCTCTCTCTCTCTCTCTCTCTCTCTCTCTCTCTCTCTCTCTGCTTCCGGTCAGCAAAATACAGAGCGATCAATGAATTCAATCCGATGGTTTTGTGACTTTTGTAGTCATATCTCTCAGCGGAATACAGAGCCATCAATGAACTCAATCCCTCTTGATCTCGTTGAAGAGATATTCTGTAGATTGCCTGTCAAGTCAATATATAGGGAGGTGTAGTTGCGTGTCAAAGCTACGGGAGTCCATACTTTGCCGTCAAGATTTCATAGAGTTTTTCTTGGCCAAGTCATCGGCTCGTCCTCGTCTTTTATTAGCCTTCGAAGGAGTTCAAAACGTTGGCTGCCAGTTCTTCTCGTCGCCCCAGCCGCGTAGTCCATATGATGAGAAGTCGTCGTCTCTTGTTGTAGCCGCAGATTCTCATATTGGTCTCTCGGGGCTAACTTTGTGTGGCTATGCCTCTGGTTTGGTTTGTTACCGTCATCATAGGCGGACCTTAAAAGACTACAAGCCTGAGTATGCATTAGTGCATGTGATATGTAACCTTAGCACAGGACAGTCTACGAGTTTACCTAAATTGAGATGTGACCCACACATATGGTCGACAAGCTATTTAGGGTTTGATCCCATTGACAAGCAGTTCAAGGTGTTAGTCATGTCTAGCAATGGTCACAGAATTCTGACGCTAGGAACCGAAAAAATGAGTTGGAGGGAGATCCAATGCCCTTTAACCCATCATCTTCACTCATCCCCTAGGATATGCATCAATGGGGTTTTGTATTACTTGGTAAGTTCTAAAGGAACGCCATATCATGAGAAGATAGCTTGCTTTGATGTCAGGTCTGAGAAATTCATCAAGTTTATGGACACAGATGTCACTTATGAGTATATGTGTAAATTGATATGCAATAAAGGTAAATTAGGTATGATAACGTGGAAAAGTCCTTATCAAAGTGATACTCATACCCCTAAGCTGTGGGTGCAGGTTCTAGAGGATTTTGAGAAACAAGAATGGTTGGAACTCGCCTACCGCAATATTGACCTTGTTGGAGTGACAGCCACAGGCGAAATCGTTTTCTCGAGTAGGTATTCTACACGTAAACTGTTTGATGTATACTACTTCAATCCCGAAAGGAATGCCCTTCAAAGATTTGAAATCCAATTCCAAGGAACACCGCGTGTCATTTTTCTAGACCATGTAGAGGATCTTAAGTTTAATTTTATGAAACCAAGCTCGTCAGAGAAGAAGCATAAACCCACGAGCACATCAACGAGCTTTATCACTCCGATGGCTTTAGCTATTTTGTTTTTTGTTTGGTTTTTTTTTCCCCCAAAATTTATTCTTTACTAGTCATCATGTAATGACTGATCTCATATATGAGAGTGATTTCAGATGTAAACTTTGCTTCTTGGTTTGTCTGACTCAGCATTCTTCTGATTCACTTACACGCCAGATTTTGATGCGGATCATCACCTTTTTTGCAAATCTAATTTTGATATGAAGCAAATTTTTCAAACAAAATCTCGAATAAACAGAAAAACTAAATAGAATGCGCATAGTCACCTTTTTGTGAATCTAATTAATTATAACTTCGCATGATGTGAAGGCAGGGCCATGTACACATACTTAGCTAAGCGTTTCGTACTAAACATTCTCTAGAAAATTCCTTCTGACACGACTTGAAACTTGGACACGGTATACAATATCCTGGAGCCATTGTTTTCGAGGTAAGAGCAAGCAAACTTTCCGAAATTTTTGATAGTTTCTTCTCTTGTGACTTGTTCAACTGTAGACATTATGGCTAAAATGCCTATGAATTAAACTCGTTTGCAATCAATATTGAACAGTAAAATACCCCTAGGAAAGTGATTGTAGACTGTTGCTCTACCTTGGAGTGCACGTATGAGGAAAAAGGTAACATCATGTTCAAAACGATTTAAAGACTCGATCTTATTGTTGTCTCTGTGTTACTGTGTAGTCTTTTGTAATGGATTCACCATCATGAATTTTCATCTTGGTTTGTGTGATTCGGTCATATAATTATATATAAAATTCATCCGCTTCATCATGTCATCTGATTTTTTTGAGACGTGAATTGTTCTCAACCTTCTTTCTTATTCTATACCCATGAATTTTTGTTCTTGTTCTATATTATCAAACCACTAGATTAAGACACACATATACAGAATTTTAATTAAGATAATTTGAAAATAAAATCGGATATTTCATATAGAAAAAGTAAAAATAATATAAAACAGCTTAAAAGTGGTTATCTTTTCATCAAGTAGAAGTAAATTCAATCATATAAGCTTCAATAAGGCATACTAACATATGATAGTATGAATGTTTCTTTTATGAGGACATATATACAAAAATGTCAATAATATTTTCCTGTTTCTTTTAGGATTAGTGTTTTAGCTTATACTGTATATTTTTCGAAGTTGAAGTTAATGTATGTTTCTTTTAATTTTATTTTTCTTAATTGAAATATATACATTATTTTATTTTTATTTTTTAGGATTAGCATTTTAGCTTATATTTTTCTAAATTTAAATTAATCTTATTATTTTTGTTTTTTGTTTTTTTTAAATTGAATATATGCTTTTATTGAGTTAATCTTATTTTCTTCTGTTTCATTTTTAGTTTTTTTCAATTCAACTATATCCTTTTATTTTGTTTTATTTTATTTTTATTTTCTTTTTTTCTTCTAAATTTCTGTTTTACCTTATGTTTTTATTTTTTTTAGTATTAATGTTTTAGCTTAGTTGGGGAAAAAAACAACCCAAACCGAACCAATCCAAACCAACTGAACTCAAACAAAACCAAACCGAACAAAACCAAAGTCTGTACTAAAATATTTTGGTTATGATTTTTGTCAACCCGAATAATTATAAAATGAACCAAACCGAAAACCTAATATGTTTACTTAATTGATAATATTAATGATATAAATTATTTTTAATCATCTTATTTAATGATTATATTCTGAAACTAAATTATATTAAAACCAAATTTGCAAACTAAATTTTAACTAAAACCAAACTATATTAAAATAAGTAAATTTAATCAATATACATAGTTGACCAATTAATTAAGTATATGGTAATAGATAATTGAAAATTAGATATTTTACAAAGAGAAACAAATTTTATTTTAAATATGTTCTTCTCATTTGAGTTAATTACACAAATGAAATTAGTCTTAAAACTGTAGTGCCAATAGTAAATTACTGATACTATTATTTATTATTTTTCCGGTAATTTATATCATCTAATCAACACTATTTATTTAATTTTATACTATTCTAACATTGTTATTATACAATTAACATGTTAATTTATTTATCATATAATAAATCTATGAGTTATTGATTAACTAACATTATTAACTGAATAAAATTATATTGATAACTAGTAAACTAATTTTGTTATTAATTAATTTATACTATTTGTTCATATAGTTATCAAATAATAACAATATCAAATACAAAAGCATAAAAATTATCATGCTAATACAATTATCGTATAATAGAAAATATGAGTTATTAGTTAATAAACATTGTTAGTATCATTAACGTTTTCATGTTACCAATCATCACCACTAATTTTATCGTTATCCTTATTTGTATTGTCGTCGTGCATCAATGTTATCCTTGTCTAACAACACCGTTAACACTATTTCCATCACCAATAATTTTGACATCTTCTTCTTTGTGTTCTTCTTTGTATTTTTTCTCCTCTTTCTTCCTTTCCTTCTTCTTTCTCCTCTTTCTTCTTTCGTTGTTTCTTTTTTATGTACACTAGGGTATGTCTCGGGCTACGCCCGGGTTTTGTTATAAATTTTATATTTCGTTATGATAATTATATATTTTGGATTTGAGTATTTATACTGTGTATATATTTTAGAATGCTCATAAGACACACTTTAAACTGTTAAAAATAAAACGTACAGAATTTTTAATGTCTAAAAACCTTCAGTAACATATAATATAGGTTCTACAGTTATTGGATTCTCAATACCAAATCAGAACAAACAAATAGTTATGTTCATACCTCCGTGCTGAAATCATAACTCTGCAGCCGCTAAAAGAAATCCAAATATTTGTAGTTAGTGAGCATTTTATTTTCATTAGCTACACCAATCATCATAAACTCCACAAAAAATATAGTTACTTTGCCACGTTTTTTAGTTTCATGATACGAACAAAATATTTTGAATCATGATAAGACAATAGTAGAGTGAAATGATGAAATATTTTTTAAGATTTCTAATTTTGCAAATTTTCAATAGCGTCGTTGTTAACTTCA